CTGGGATTCGTGGGATGGGAACTGAGCCCTTTCAAAGTCGGTTTGGGGAGAGGTTCCCGCAGAGCTCGGCCCCATGCTGGGCTTGGAATCCTTCTGTAGTCACTTGGCTGGGCTTGGAATCCCTCTGTAGTGACTCTGGCGTCTGTCACCACTGAAGTGCCTGTGAAATTGTGCTCCCAGCGTGACAAATGACCCCGGGGGAGGAGGAGCTGTTCCCGTTTTTCCCGGATTCAGCAGCAAGGAGCTGTTTTTTTGTTTTTTTTTTTTTTACCAGAAGGAAAAGGGAGGCAGAGCTGTCCCAGATTCCAGCCCTCGCTGCTCCCCTTGGGGCGAGGCAGGAGGGAAACAAAGGGATGGAGGATGGGGATGAGCGACTTGCAGCTCGTCTCTCCTCGTCCTTTCGGCCCTGCCTCCCCCTCCCTGGGCTGCTCCAAAAAAGCAGAGGAGCAACAAGAGGCTCATTTTGGGGGATAAACTGGGGGTGCACAGGATGAGGAAAAGCTTCCAGCTGTTCTCCCCTGCTGTCCCCTGCTCAGCTGGGACAACCTGCAGCATGGACCTGCCCCTGCCCTGAGCCCTCTGTGCCCACAGGAACGATGTTCTCCCTTTCCCTGGGTCTGCTGAAGCCCTGCCTGGAGCCAGACCCATCCCAAACCAGATGCCAGGAGCAGGAGGCCGTGCTGGGGAAGCTGGGCTGGGTCTCTCCCCTCCTGGGGGGCCACTAACCCCCCCCTGCTCCTCTGCCCCACCAGGTTCTGGTTCCGTCTCTACTGGTTCCCCCTCAAGGTCCTCTATGCCACCTGCTACTCCAGCCTCCAGTCGGTCCCAAACATCCCCTTCTACTTCTTCTTCAACGCTCTGCTCCTCATCCTCACCCTGATGAACATCTACTGGTTCCTGGTGAGTGGGGGGAGTTCCCTCCCCGCTGCTCCTGCCCGGTGCCTGCTGCCTGTGCAGGGGCTGCAGGGCTGGAGAGGCTTTGGAGGGGAGGAGGGAAGCCCCTGATGGTTCCTGGGGGGGCTCCTGTGCTGGAATTCCGACCGTGCTCCAAGGATCCCTGGTGAGGGAGCGACAGCAGTGGCTGGGACAGGCTGGGATTTGAAGAGGGTGTGAATGTCCTGGCACCCCCCCAGGTGTTGGGGAGGGGGTGGAAAGGGTGGATGTGGAGGGATCACATCAGGCAAGGCAGGGGAGCGCCTGATTCCATCATCCTGCCTGATTCCATCATCCTGCCTGATTCCATCATCCCGTGGGATGAAGTTGCAGGAATTCTGCCACGGGTCTGAGCCACGTCCAGGGGGGAGCTGCCCTGCCCACGTGGGGCCTGGGGGGTGGAACAGCTCCAAACCTTTGGGATCCGTGTCTGAGGGTGTCTCTCCCCCCTCCCAGTACATCGTCCTGTTCGTGGCCAAGGTGCTGATGGGGCAGATGCAGGAGGTGAACGACGTGCGCGAGTACGACGTGGAGGACACCGGGAAAAGCACCAGGGCCCGGAAGAGGGAGGCTGGAATCCAACTACCCAAGGCTCTGAAGGAAGGGTACGTGGGCAGGGGGGTGGCACACAGGGCCGTGGGACGGTTTGGGTTGGAAGGAACGTGGAGATCATCCAGTGCCACCCCACAGATCCCACTATCCCGGGGTGCTCCAGCCTGGCCTTGGACGCTCCCAGGGATGACACACAGCCAGTGAGGGGAAGGGACACTGGTGACCTCCCTGGAGCTGCTGTCACAGGGCTCACCCCCGGGCTGGAAGATGGGCATAAAACATCACTGCAGGTGCCAGGAAGGACTTTAAATCCACGCCTGGGCATCGTGGGGTGCCCACCCA